ATCCGTTACGCCACCAGGGCCGCTTTTCCCCTTTCAGCTCAACGGCTTTTATGCCGTAGCATATCAGCACTCACACGTTTAACTATGGTGAGCGTGAGGTGCGGGTTCGACTCCCGCCTGGGGCACGACTTTTGCCCACAACTCAGCATTCTTGTGATAACATTCGGAAGCGCAAACTGCGGCGTAAAACAGCAGTTATCATAATAGAAAACCAATGAAGAACGTTCAAAAATGGTGGCGTGCGCTCAAAACGTTGACGCAAAGTATGAATGCAGCCTGGCGTCTACGGTGCGGTCGCTTCTGCTCACTTTGCTCAGGGTATTCCTTATTTCTCTAGTACTTTCATCGAAAGGAGGCAAAAGGAATATTTCAGTTGTTCGCTCTCGCTAATCAAGACTACGTTGATGTCCGCATCAGCCATGAAGACTGGCCGAAGCACAAACCGGGTACATTCGATTTCCTGCCGTTTCACTACAGGAACAATTTGTATAAGTAGACATCCCCGATGGTGAATTTTTAGATATGCCTTTCGGTCAGGTGCCAGCACTTGACGTCGACGGAAAGATTCTGCCGCAGTCGTTTGCCATTAACAGATATCTGGCGAGGCAGTTTGGTGAGTTCCTTTGTCAGCTTGCGATGTTTGCCGTTGAGGACCTTTCAATAATTTTTCCAAGCATCAGCTAGTATGTCAGGACAGTGAGTGCTAAGCTCCTACTGAGGCCGAATATTATTTATTGAGGTTATGCTGGCAAGAACGCTTTCGAGGAGGCAATGGTGGACGCATTCGCTGACCAATACGGGGATTTTTACAAAGAAGCAACACCGTATCTCTATGCAGTGTGGGGATTCAAAAAGGGTGATGTGGTAAGTTCCCGACAATTTCTAATGCTAACGTAGTTAGAGGGGCTTCTACAGGGACACTAGACCAGACTCTGAATCGTCTCCGCTCTTGTAACACTAACAGGGGAAAGAAAGGAACACTACCTTGGTTGAAGGCAGAACATAGACGACCAGACTCATGCAAGTGTTTACTATCCAGCTTTGTTTGAGACAGTCCTGCTGTGCTTTCGCTGTCCCTAAACTGTCCGTGCTGCCGCACGGCCAGCAAGATGTCCAACTGTAGCCGATAGAGCCAATTGTCTGCGCTCTCTCGCTTCTGCTTCCTCTCTACCGCTTGGTTCGTGTTTCGCTTCTGAGACCTTGGCACAGCGCAAGTGCTCCTCGGGAATAA